TGAAGATTGACTAGTTATTTGATGATATGAAGGAAGTATTACTTTTTCACCTTTAAAGGAGTCAGGACCTTTAGAGACCCACCGCAGTGTGCTGGATAACTACCGCAGACCTACCGAGCACCCTGAGGTTGTGCCCGTCTGTGTAACTACCGCATACCTACCGAGCACCCTGAGGTTGTGCCCGTCTCTGTTAACTACCGCATACCTACCGAGCACCCTGAGGTTGTGCCCATCTGTATAACTACCGTATACCTACCGAGCACCCTGAGGTTGTGCCCGTCTGTTTTACAGATGAGCCCGATCGCTTCTGCACATCACCCAGATAAGCAGCAGACCCACTGGGAGTCTGACTCAAAGTCCTGATCTGAACCACTGCTCCGAGCTACCCTACCACATGTATTCTCCCGTTCAGCTTTGTCTTTACCAAACATTTCCTGGGCACCCACTGTGTAATTAGTATCCTGAAAAATAATGAATGAAATGACATGATATTTAGGAATTCCTTGAAAATAATTATGGGTGGTAAGTGTGTAAGAGGATAACATTAGAGATGAAACAAGATTGGTCAGGAGTTAATAACTGTTAAAGCAGGACGCTATTCTGTTTAGTTTGTATATGTTTGAAAGTTCCCACAATAAAAGTTAAAATTAAAAAAATGATGTTGAAACCGGATCATACAATCAAGTACAAAATATCAGGAATTAATTATTCTGAAGGAAAATTATGTAAAAATGGCACCTTCCTAACCAAGTGTGAGGTATAACTACTGTATGTATGTAGACCAAAAATAGTTGCCCTATTGGCAAATCAATAGTCTTAAGAAGAAAAAAAATCTGGTCTCTGTTTTATGTCTCATGAAAACTGGTCTAGTCACTATTAACTGGTTTGTCTGGTCCTTTTCTTTATCCAGAAAATTAAGAATATTTTATCTTAGACCCATTCAAGAATCCCCTCTAATGTTTATTCAGGGGACCAAATAAACAGATTTTAGTCTGTGAACAAATTAAAGTCCTGGCACCCTGAAAATTAAATTACCAGGAAAATCAAAGCTGTCCAGAGAAGTCTATGCAAAAATAGTATTGTTTTTAACTCTGCAGGATCCTTTTGAAGAAAAATTTAAAAGTTAAATCAAGGAAATCATTAAATAGATTGGTGGTCATTCTTCCAGAACAAGTTAAAAGCCAAAAGAGAATACTCAGAGCTGAGGGACTCAGGAAAGAATCCTTATCTGGGGAGTGATCTGGGTTCGGATTCCACTCACCAGCTGCTTGCTAAGAAGCAGACTACTCAAACTCCTCAGCTTCCGTTTCCACAGGTCCGTTTCCACAGGGCTCCAGTTACAATCAAATGAGTATCTGGGCTGGCACCTGGGCAAACAGGGCCTGACTCTCCTGGCCTTAGGCTACCTTTCCTGCTCTCCTCACAGCTCCTCCCTCCCACACAGCCACTCCTGGAGGATGACAATCTGCAACCAAGCTGAATGAATCTGTATTTGGCTTGGCTCACAGCATTTAAAAAAAAAAAATTAATTAGCTATTGCCAACATTTAAAAATGTGGAGTGCTGCCTTCTTTTTTAGAGACAGGGTCTTGCTCTGTCACCCAGGCTGGAGCACAGTGGTGCAATCATAGCTTACTGCAGGCTCGAAATCCTGGGCTCATGGGATCCTTCCACCTCAGACTCCCAAGTAGCTAGGCCTACAGGTGGATGCCACCACACCTAGCAAATTTTCAAAAATTTTTTGTAGAAACAGGGATCTCGGCCGGGCGCGGTGGCTCAAGCCTGTAATCCCAGCACTTTGGGAGGCCGAGACGGGCGGATCACGAGGTCAGGAGATCTAGGCCATCCTGGCTAACACGGTGAAACCCCGTCTCTACTAAAAAGTACAAAAAACTAGCCGGGCGAGGTGGCGGCGCCTGTAGTCCCAGCTACTTGGGAGGCTGAGGCAGGAGAATGGCGTAAACCCGGGAGGCGGAGCTTGCGGTGAGCAGAGATCCGGCCACTGCACTCCAGCCTGGGCGACAGAGCCAGACTCCGTCTCAAAAAAAAAAAAAAAAAAAGAAACAGGGATCTCGCTGTCGCCCAGACTGGTCTTGAACTCCTGGCCTGAAGTGATCCTCCCACGTCAGCCTCCCAAAGTATCTGAGATTACAGGCGTGAGCCATGGCACCAGTCAAATTCCACCTTCTTCTAGAAAACTGCTGGGTAAGGTTCCAGTTCTTCAGAGTCCCCACGACTCTGTGCCCTTACACCTGGCCCTCCAGATTGATTCTCAACTCCACAGTGGGCTATGGTCCTTACCTGGCCCTGCTCCTTCACACCTCTGCTTCTCCCTGCCTAGCAAATTTTTCATCACCCTCAAGGCCCCCCAGCATCACCTGTCACCTCCTCCACATTTCCATGGCATAGCCCCTCCACGACAGCAAGGGTTGTACAGCCCTGGAACTAAGTGTCTGCATGCCTGCCTTCTCTACTGGGCTCCTGGGCTCTCTTCGGAAAGGGACCCTGTTGCTATCTGCCTTGTGTCCCTAGGGCCTAGCAGAAAGCATGACCTAGATAATGCAGAATTCAGTAAATGTCTCCTGCACGTGTGGGAGAAAGCTAGAGCTAAACCATTATAAAAATGTGAGATTTTACATCACAGCTTGTTCCAACGGTTAGCAATTAAAGGGGTCAAGGACACCAAAATGTTTCACAAAATAGAACAAGCTTCCATCTGCTTACAAGTTTCACACGTTAATCAGAAGTCACTAAATTAACAGATAAAGCAGAGACAACAGGGAGACTGGGCCATTTCTTTGATCATTCATTCATTCATTGAGCTGATACTACTGAATACTTACTGTGTGCTTTCTAAGTACTGGGGATAAAGCAGTGGACAAATCAGACAGCTACCTGTTTTCACAAAGTTACATCCTAGTCGGGGAGACAGAAAATAAACAGGCAAATAAATAGAATCGTTTCAAACCAGGTAAGAGCTAGGAAGGAAATTTTTAAAATAATGAAATAGCATGACTAAGGGAAGAAAGAGGGTGGTCGAGGAGGGCCTCACCCAAACCGAGACATCTGGCCAGAGGAAGGAACAGAAAGAGCTACTTGTGCCAAGATCACGGAGACAACTCCAAAGACGAGGAAACAGCGAATGCAAAGGTCCTGGGGCAAATGCGGGCTGGCATGTCCAAGGCGGGCGATCTGAGTGCAATGGGGCAGCAGTCTTCTGGGAGAGGGGTGTGGTGGTAAGGGATGTGGGCTGGGTCCCCTCTGGCACTGCTGGACACTGAGTGTGCAATGACAAGGCAAGGGAGGCGTGCGTGGGGAGGCGGGAGGCTGGGCGGATGAGGAGGGGGTTCCTACACCACTCACACCAGCAAGGGCCAGCACCCTGCCCAATCTTCCACAAATGTACACCGGTGTCCTGCCCAGGCGTCTGCACACAGTCACACAGCCTGACAACAACCCTGTCCAGAAGAGGCATTTCCCCACCTTCCTGAAGGCAAAACCGCGGCAGAGCGAGGGTCAGTGCCTTGGTCAAGGTCGCGGGGACGCGACCCCGGGCCCCTGGGCACCCGGCGCAGGAGTGCAGCTGTTCGCCCCACCTCCGGGAGGGATGGCGCCCGCAGACCCCACGGGCAGGTCGGCCGGGCCAGGCCGGTGAGCAGGCCCGCAGCCCGGTGCTGCTGACAGCCGGGCGGAAGGGGGCGCCTGCGGCATCCCCGAGCACAGGGGCGACGGCTGCAGCTGCCAGGGCTCCGCAGCCCCCGGCCCACCCCGAAACCCCGGCCGCGCGGTTCCCCCGCCGCCCCTCCCCGCGGGCCCGGCCCGAGCAGCCGCCGCCAGGCCTAGCCCGCCCGCCGGGCTCACCTCGCCTCCCCGCCGCCGCGCCACGGGGAGAGGGCGGGCGGGCGGACTGGCGGCGCTGCGTGCTAGTCACTCCTGCCTCCGCGGCCCCGGCTCCGCCGCCGGCCCGCCCCGCTCCGCTCCACCCCGCCGCCGCCGCCGCCGCCGCAGTGGGTGTGAGGGGCGCCGGGGCGCTGCGACCCTTCCGGTCCCGCTCCCTTCTCCGCCGCTGCCGCCGCCGCCGCGGCGCCCGGTCTGACCGACCCTCGGGCCGACCAATCAGCGCGCGGAGAGCGGAGCAGGCGCGGCCAATGGCGCCTGGGGGGCGGGCCGCTGGAGGGTGGCGCGGGCGGGGCCGGGGGCCGGGTCTGGCGCCCGAGGTCCTGGGCCGGGGTTCGGTGGGTTCGACGCCCCCGGGCCTTTCAGTGGCGTCGGCCGACCGGCCTTGGCGCTCGGGTGCGCGCAGTGCACGCGGTGAGCTGGAGACGCAGGCACTGTGCGTCCCACCAGCTGAGCCCGCTGTCCGCGCGAGGGGGCCGCAGCTCGGGGGAGAGGGTGGCCCGGAGGACCGGGAACCGGGCTGGAGGCGCGCGGGGCTCACACCGCGGGGTCCGCGGGAAGCCGGGCGTCGCCTACAGGTGCAGGCTCGTGGCGGCGAGGAGGCCGCCCGTTTCGGGGAGAGCCCGGGGCGATCGCGGGGAGAGGCCGGCCTGGCGTCCGGGAGCCCGGCGTGCTAGGGCTCGGGAGGCGGGGCGGGCCTTGTACTCGGTTGCTCGCTGCGGCGCCGCAGGAACGGGTCTGTGGGGGTGTGGGTGAGGCCAGAAGTCGGGTTGAAGAAGGGGAGGAGGTGCGAAGAGATGGCCGTGTGTTACCCGATGGTTACCCGATGGGTCGGTGACGCAGGAGGGGAGTGCGCTTGGTGGCGGGGTGACTTAGTTGACAACATTTAAAAATTGGGAGCTGCGGCAGGGCGCGGTGGCTCACGCCTGTAATCCCAGCACTTTGGGAGGTCGAGGCGGGTGGACCACCTGAGGTCAGGAGTTCGAGACCAGCCTGGCTAACCAGGTGAAATCTGTCCCTATTAAAAATACAAAACAATTAGCTGGGCGTGGTTGCGGGCGCCTGTAATCCCAGCTACTCGGGAGGCTGAGGTAGGAGAATCACTTGAACCCGGGAGGCGGAGGTTGCAGTGAGCCGAGATTGCGCCATTGCACTCCAGCCTGGGCGACAGAGTGAGACTCTGTCTCAGAAAAAAAAAATTTAAAAAGGGAGGTGCTCAGTCAAGTCTCTGAGAGGAGTGGGTGGCGGGGCGAGGAGTCCCTTGCTCAGGGCCCCCTAGGGACTGGGACCCATTGACTCTGAGTTGCTTTTGAGGCTGCATCAGGTACCAGCGGCCTGGGGGTCGTACAGGATGGGAGAGGCCGGGACTTGGGATGTTGCCAGATCTACGTTAAAAAGTGAAGCAGGAAGCGGGGCACCGAGGCTGGGCACATGGGGAAAACCGCGGAGAGCCGGACTTTGGGGACTGGAAGAGTGGGAACAGTGGCTGACAAATGGTGAGTGTGGGGCGGAACAGCAGTAACACAATACCAGTATCCACGGAGTGGCCAGGGCCAGAGTTGGGAGAAGGAACAGGACTCTGCAGATGGGGAGGGCAAGGGGCTGGGTGGTGTGAAGGGTGGTTGCAGGATTTGGGGAGGGCAGCTAGCCTGTGACCCAGGTTCCAAGGGCACTGAGGGCTGGGCCAGGCCGCTTGGAGGCACCAGAGCCTCAGAGGAGGGGTGGGGTAGAGGAACGGATCCAGCATGGTGTCCTCCTTGGCCACCAGAGGGAGTTTGCTAAATCTGAGCATGGCTCATCGCTGCTTGAAATTCTACCTCGCAGGCCGGGCGCGGTGGCTCACGCCTGTAATCCCAGCACTTTGGGAGGCCGAGGCGGGCGGATCACAAGGTCAGGAGATCGAGACCATGGTGAAACCCCGTCTCTACTAAAAAATAGAAAAAAATTAGCCGGGCGCAGTGGCAGGCGCCTGTAGTCCCAGCTACTTGGGAGGCTGAGGTAGGAGAATGGCGTGAACCCGGGAGGCGGAGCTTGCAGTGAGCCGAGATTGCGCCACTGCACCCCAGCCTGGGGCACAGAGCGAGACTCCGCCTCAAAAAAAAAAAAAAAAAAAAAAAAAAAGAAATTCTACCTCGCAGTGTGGCCTGCATTGAGGAGGGCCCACACCTGTCCTTACCTCAGACTCACCTGCCACCTGCCTCAGGTGCATGAGAGAAAACAGGAAACCAGAAATTGCCAGGATCAAGGACCATGGGAAAAGAGTAAAAGCCTAGCTGTCAGAGCTGAGGTTCCACCAAGGAGCACCGATGGGTGCTTCTCCTCATTAGGAAGGCCGCGCGGTGGCTCACACCTGTAATCCCAGCACTTTGGGACGCCGAGGGGGGGATAGATCACCTGAGGTCAAGAGTTCGAGACCAGCCTGGCCAACATGGTGAAACATCATCTCTACTAGAAATACAAAAATTAGCTGGGTGTGATGGTGGGTGCCTGTAATTCCAGCTATTCAGGAGGCCAAGGCAGGAGAATAACTTGAACCCAGGAGGCAGAGGTTGCAGTGAGCCGAGATTGCTCCACGGCACTCCAGCCTGGGCAACAGAGCAAAAACTCTGTCTCAAAAACAAAACAAACAAACTAAAAAAAAAAACAAAACAGGGGGACACCAATTCCCAGCACTGCAGGCCTAACTTCATAGCACTCACATCATGTCAAGTGAGTAACCAAAAATCAGTGTACATGTGTACACACCTATACATATCTCACACTAAGTTTTCTGTAAGGGTTCTTTTTATTCCAGAGACACTGCTTTTTTTCTGGTTTATGAAATACAGTGAACATGTATGGACACAAAGCTGAGGTGACAGGATGGGGATGGGGCCTTGGAACAGCACCAAGAATCCTGGTTGAACCCTCCAAGTGAAAAGATCCTGCCACAACATATGTGAACCAGGTAGGACACGTGAGCATGTCTCACCTGATCTGGTCTGTGGTGGCGAGAAGCAATTGAGGGAGGCCTCCTGGGCGGGAGGAAGCTGTTGCTGAGGCTGCCCAGCAGGATATGTTAGGCCTGCGACTTAGGCAGAAAGGGCACTCAGGCCCAAATGTTCAGATGTGAGGACCTGCTTCCTGTGTTCAGGGAGCCGCAAGTCACCTGGTCTTAGGGAAAGGTGAGGGGACTGGAGAGTTCTGAGGACCTTGAGGTAGATTGGCACTGCCAGGCATGTGGGCTGGCTTTAGCTCACTGATATGCCTTATTTAGCCCAGAGAGGTTTTCTTTTTTTAATTGATTAGTTGATTTAAGAAACATTTAAAAATTAGGAGGTGCTATTTTGAATATTTATCCTCTGTGAAACTCATGTTCATACGTAATCTCCAGTGTGGCAGCACTGAGAGGTGGGGCTTCTGAGGGTGGTTGGGATTAATCTGATGGATTCATGGATTAAAGGGTTATCACCGAGTGGGACTGGTGGCTCCTTTAGAAGAGGAAGGAAGAGCGGAGCTGGCACGTGAGCATGCTCAGCCCCCTGGCCGTGTGACACCTGGACCATCCTCAGGACTCTGCAGAGTCCCCACCAGCAAGAAGGTCGTCATCAGATGCAGCCACTGAACCTTGGACCTCTCAGCCCCCAGGGCTATAACAAATACATTCTTTTTTAAAGTCAATTACCCAGTTTCAGGTATTCTGTTGTAAGCAACAGAAACAGACTAAGACAAGAGCACGGCAGGGTGGAGGAGCTAGGGGTGCCTGGGGCATCGGGGACTTGTCCGGAGACCAGCTGTATGTGCAGCCACAGTGCCTACAGGTTCCTGTGGTCCTGATATCCCCCACCCTTGACTGGCCTGGATTCCAATCCGACTCATTTGTCAGCTGTGCTCCTCTGGGCAAGGGATTCACTTCTGCCTGCCTTGGTTCTGTAGGAAGTGGTGTGGAGAAGGAAGGAAGCAGGAAAAGCTAGGTGCAGCCCATGCAGCAGGGATGGTGTACGTCCTTATGCTGACTGGCCTCTGTCCCCTCAACACCTTGCCTGCCCTCCCCCCACTCCACTAACCCACATCTTCCCTTCTCCCCAACCCCTACAAAGACCCAGAGATATGCTGAAGGGTGTACGTCAGGGCTGCCCCAGCTGTGTGCTGTAGAAAGCTAAACTGCACTTAAACCAATGGGGATGTTTGTTGGGAGGTGCCTGTAACATCACACCCAGGGGAGGTGGGGGTGGAGCTGGCCTGGAAACCCTAGGGCCATGGAGGCCACCTCAGGCCCGAATGGAGTTTGACAACCCACAACGATGGACTCTGATGGTCCCCCGGACAGGGCTTCCATCCTGGGACTGGTCAGCCATGCTGGGGAGACAGGCTCACATGAGGTCATGCCGGGGAAGGGCAGAACTGGGAAAGGCAGAAGTCTGGAAGTTTCTTATATGGTGATGATTAGAATGAGGGCATCTGAGCTGGGGCACAGCTGAGGGTGTGGCACTGCATGGAAACAGGGTTATTTGGGCGCTGTGTAACTGAATGTTGAATCCAGTGGCCCTTTGCCGTCCTCCTCCGGGAATCCCCCAGAGCACCAGCAGCTGGGCCCGTACTCTCAGGCAGGGAGCCAGCAAGCTGTTCTCCAGAAGTCTGACGAGCCCTAAAGGGAAGACCTGAGACATGAACATGATGACACCCCCACCCCCGCCAGTTTTCCCAGCAGGGAATCTTGCATCAACCAGCCTTACCATGTGCTTAGAACTTCCAGTCAGCCCACCTTGAATCTGAATAGACAGCTCAATGTCATATGGCTTAGAAAAGTAAGACCAAAAACTGCATCTTGAAAGAAACAGACTCTGTGGAGAAGGAAAATTCAAAAAATAAAAATAAAACTATTGCTGGCTTCAGAGAGAATGAAAACATATTACATCCTTAAAACAAGAGCCAGCCATTTAAAAATTGTTCAGCACAGGTGTATGCAACATGGCCTTGCTCTGTCAGCTGAGATGGCCTAGAAACAATGACATCTCAGTAGCAGCCAACACACCCAGAGCCCAGATCTTCTGTAATGTCATTTGCCATGCAAGGAACCAGGGATCCCTGGAAAAATGGCTGATTCTAGGGCTGGGGCAGGGTATGGACAAGACAAACCTGGAGAATATTGTAGTGCGAGTAAGGAAGTGCTTACACACACACACAATGATGGGGCTATGCCAAAGAGACAAGAGCCAACTGAAAAAGCCTCCAGTGGCTATTGCTAGAACTATTGGAGCAACAAACTAACATAGTATTGGGTATGACTCAAAATATAAAATAAATATCTATGGTTCATACTAATAGAAATAACAAATGGGGAAGAATAGACAAGTTTGTGGCCGGGCACGGTGGCTCACACCTGTAATCCCAGCACTTTGGGAGGCCGAGGTGGGCGGATCACGAGGTCAGGAGATCGAGACCGTCCTGGCTAACACGGTGAAACCCCGTCTCTACTAAAAATACCAAAACCAATTAGCCGGGTGTGGTGGCGGCGCCTGTAGTCCCAGCTACTCGGGAGGCTGAGGCAGGAGAATGGCGTCAACCCAGGAGGTGGAGCTTGCAGTGAGCCAAGATGGCGCCACTGCACTCCAGCCTGGGAGACACAGCGAGACTCCCTCTCAAAAAAAAAAAAAAAAAAAAAAAATACGTTTGTGCAGAAGAATTCCAAATTGTGTAGATACTCCTCTCTCAAGGAGGTGAAACGTCACACCCTGCCCTTTAAGTGTGGGCCAAGCTTAGTGACTTCCTTTCAAAGAGTACAATATGGAGAAGGAGGAAAATAGAGAACCTTTACAGTGGAGAAACCTGGCTCCCACCTCCTCAGCCAGCTGATCAAGGCCGCACACCACACCAGTGATAAGATGTGGATAGTATGCACCAATGATATGAAGGGATGAGAAAGGCACTGTCTTCTGTGGTGTTCCTCCCCAGAACCTATAACCCCAGTCTAGCCATGAGTAAAGCATTAACAAACCCAACTAAGGGACAATACACAAAGCACCCACCAGTAGTCTTCAAAACTGTCAAGGTCATTAAAAACAAGTCTGAGAAACTCTCACAGCCAAGAGGAAACTAAGGAGGCATGTCTCAGAACAGAAAAAGGACATTAGATAAGAACTAAGGGAACACAGATAAAGTACAGACTTTAGGTAATTTAAAAAATATGTTCTATAACAGCAGGGCGCAGTGGCTCACGCCTGTAATCCCAGCACTTTGGGAGGCTGAGGTGGGCGGATCATGAGGTCAAGAGATTGAGACCATCATGGCCAACATGGTAAAACCCCGTCTCTACTAAAACTACAAAAACTAGCTGGACGTGGTGGCGCCTGCCTATAGTCCCAGCTACTTGGGAGACTGAAGCAGGAGAATCACTTGAACCTGGGAGGCAGAGCTTGCAGTGAGCCGAGATTGTGCCACTGCACTCCAGCCTGGCAACAGAGTGAGACTCCATCTCAAAAATAATATACATATATATAAATAACATATATATGTTTTATATATATATATTCAGAGCAAAGAAAAACTCTTGAAAATTAAATCATATTGGCAGAAATGAAAAATCTTGGTAGCAGGTTGGGAGATAAAATTGAAGAGATCTCTCAGTAGGGCAAAAAGACAAAAAATGAATGATAGAAAAGATAAGAAATTAGAGGCCAGTCCAGCAGCTTCACCCTGGGAATAATAGACACTCCAGAGAGGACAGAGAAACAGAGAAATCCACAACAAAGTAATTCAAGAAAATTTCCTAGATCTGAAAGGCAGAAGTTACCAGACTCAATCAACCCGAAATGAAACGTGACTCTAGGCAACTTGTGGTATTTCAGAACACAGGAAACAAAAAGGAGACAAAAAGGTCACCTACAAAGACATCAGACTTTGGACTCCTCAGTAACAACACTGGGAACAAGACGATGAAGCAGTACCTTTAAAATTCTGCAGGGACATTTTTTTCTGACCTGGAATTGTGTGTTTAGCTAAACCCTCTATCAAGTATAAATAAAAAAGTCATTTCCACACTTGCAGATTCTCAAAAAACTTGCCTTCTGCCGTGGCCTGGATATTTGTGTTTCCCAAAGTTCATATGTTGCAATCCTAACCCCTGCCACATGTGACGTTATTAGGAGGTGGGGCCTTTGGGAGGTGATGAGTGTGAGGGTGGAGCCCTTATTAATGGGATTAGTACATTTATCAAAGAGGCTCCAGAGAACTCCCTTGCCCCTTCTGCCGTGTGAGGACACAGCAAGAAGGTTGCTCTGTACAAACCAGGAAATGGGCCCTCACCAAGACTCCACATCTGCCACTGCCTTGATCTCAGACTTGCTGGTCTTGAGAACTGTGAGAAATAAATGTCTGATTTTTATAAGGCACCAGGACTGTTATAGCAGCCCGAACTAAGACACCTCTCAAGCACCTTTTCTCAAGAAGAATGGGCTTCACCGGAACAAAAAAACTCAGAAGAAGGAAGACACATATACAGAAAACAGGGGCTCAGGCCGGGCACGGTGGCTCACGCTGTAATCCCAGCACTGTGGGAGGCCGAGGCAGGCGGATAAGCAGATCAGGAGTTCGAGACCATCCTGGCTAACATGGTGAAACCCCGTCTCCACTAAAAATACAAAAATTGGCCGGGTGCAGTGGCTCATGCCTGTAATCCCAGCACTTTGGGAGGCCGAGGCAGGCGGATCACCTGAGGTCAGGAGTTCGAGACCAGCCTGACCAACATGGAGAAACCCTGTCTCCACTAAAAATACAAAAATTGGTCAGGCACAATGGCTCACGCCTGTAATCCCAGCACTTTGGGAGGCCGAGGTGGGCAGATCACGAGGTCAAGAGATTGAGACCATCCTGGCCAACATAGTGAAACCCCGTGTCTTCTGAAAACACAAAAATTAGCTGGGTATGGTGGCGGGCACCTGTAGTCCCAGCTACTTGGGAGACTGAGGCAGGAGAATCACTTGAACCTGGGAGGTGGAGGTGGCAGTCAGCCGAGATTGCACCGCTGCACTCCAGCCTGGGCGACAGAGTGAGACTCTGTCGAAAACAAACACAAAGACAAAAACAAAAACAAAAAAACCCAGGAACCCAACACAGAAGACATGGCCTGGGAGACCCATGGAGGGTGGCAAGAAGTGACCCTGGGGTGATGGCTCTGCACCAGACATGGAGGGCGACTGAGCCATACTGAGCAGTGTGACCCATGGGTGAACGATCTTCACAAGGCCCCACCTCCATCAGGCCAGCTGTAGGCCGGGGTCGGAACGCCCAGGAGAGCTTGGCCTAGGTTCTCGGCAGTACTTGGCTTGGCCATGTGCCGATGAGGGGCGCTCCCATCCTCTGCTGAGGACGCACAACACTCACAGAAGTTCCCAGCTTTCCCCCCACGGAGAGCTGAAGGCAGGCCGTGGTGAGCTTAGAAGCAGGATGTACAGGACAGCCCCCTCCCTCTGACCGTATTTCCGCTGCAGGTCCAGCGCCTGGTCCCCACCTTGGCCCTGCCAGGTGGCTGACTGTGCTGAGCCCAAGACTCCCTCGAGACCTTGCTCACGGCTTCCCCAGGAGAGGCCTTGTCAGCTCCCAGAGAAGCAGGAGTCAGACCACGACCTGGAGACTGATCTGCTCGCCTCCGGGAGCCTCTGTCCAGTGGAGGCAGTGCCGCC